GTCGTCTGTCTCTGACATGCAACATATTCTATATCTATTTTATTCGCCGGATTCCCTGTAAGTGCACCGGCACCACGTCCCGCAACCTCTCTGTCTGTCATTAAACATAAAGTTCATTTCTGCAAAATAAAATCGGAGGCACGCTGCCTCGACTACAAGTATACCTACCCTACTTGGCAGGTAAAATAACGCCTCCATGCAAGTGCCCCGGCACATGGGCCTTGAGCCACAACTGGAATGCCTCGTCATCGACCATTTTGGTGGGCCCGTCTGGGCCATTATGCGACCAGATCGCCACTAAGCACTTCCTTGCGACTACCCAGGTGTCTTGGTGCGATCTCGAGGGACGCAGGTCTTGGTCACGGAGCCCCGCTGACAGAAAGTCGTTCTTTTTCTCCCTGCATCCAATGGCATCTACTCTCAGCCACTGTTCGAGTGGTCTGGGCTTGCTGAGGAGCTTGCCTTCTTCGTACCGAAGACAAACCCAGGCGAGGACCCAGATGAATGACTCAGCATCATGCTGGTACAAGTGCTCAACTTGGCCTGCAATGGCTTTCTTTGTGAGAAGCTCCAGTGCCATGAATGGTACCGTTCCTGTGCGCTCGAGGCCGCTGGGACTATCGTCTTGAGTCGATGACAAGTCGTAGTCGTTGAGGACGCCGATCCAAAGATCGCCTAATTGGTATACCATGAAGTTGCTTGGGCTAGCATCGCGGTGGCGGACGCCGTTCCTCCAGAGGGCGTAATGGCCTGTTGGAGCGTTTAATGGACAATAAAGAGCGCGAAGGAAAGAACACCTACAGAGTGCAATTTGCCACCATGCGCTGAGGAAGTCCATCCCGCTGAGCGTCGTGATCGGGATAAGCTCTCTAAATACGATGATGTACAAGACTCGGCTGCCGCGCTCGGCGTCTTCAAGTCCCAGTGCCTTTCGGATTTTTGCCGTGGAAGTTTCTTCGAACTTGTAGGACCATAACATCTCTGGGACATGGCCTACCACCTCTGCCTCTTGTTTCGCAATCTCATACACCTTCTTGAGTATGGCAGGCTCGCTTTCATCCGACTCCTCTGGCCAATAGAGCTTGGCGACCAGTCCGGTAGATTTGTTATGAAAATAAGGCTTCTGTTCCAGACTCGACAGCGCCTGGCTCTCCACTGGAAAGAGGGTGGTTGCACGTCCGCGCAGACCGTAATGAGTCGTGCGCTCGTCAGAAGTTAAATCCAATTTCAGGTCGACATCCATGCCGTTCTTTTCATCCGGGATGACAATCTTGTCCGAAACTCCAGGCGTAGGATCGAATTTCGTGTTAAGGCCCCATTGTTTGTATTTCATTCGCTGCATAATGAGGAGCAAGACCATAAAGCGTGGAAGGTCCTGAACGAAGTTGATGCCCGAGCATTGAATTACGTCTTGCCGATCAAAATACCAGATATAAATGACGTCGTCTGGAACGAGCGATAAGTTCGGTGGTAGGTCAATGATGAAACATCGACTTACTCATCACTATAGAGGAGATGACGTGGAGACGCGCGATATGAGCCGCGAACATCTCCGCAGCGTACAGACCATTCTGGACGACAGGATGAAGTTTTTTGGGCTCCTTCTCGTCGGTCTTCTCGTTGTTGCTCCTGGATCGCTTGGCAGGGGGCTCGTTGGAGTCCAAGTGACCAGAGTTACGCTTCTGGTCTGCTTCATTTTTGTCTTTGATTCGCTCAGACGTTCGTCTTACTGCATCGCCCACGTCAGTAAGGAAGTAATAGGCGGAGATAGTGAGCGGCTTACACTCATGCGATGCCCCGTGGGCGGTCTGAGTAGGACCAACGGCAGGTCTTGAACCTGTTAGCTCAGCTGCTTTGCCTCCGAGTCGCTTGGACGTTTGTCTTGCTGCATCGTGCATATTGGTAAGGAAGTAGCAGGCGGACATACTAGGGGGCTTACACTCATTCGATGCCTCATGGGAGGTTCGAGCAGGCACAGCGGCAGATGTTGAACCTGTTGGCTCGACAGGGTCGTCCGTTTCCTTGCGATACGCCATATAAAGATCATTAGGAACAACGTAATCCGTGTTGTATTTCTTGGACGGCGGAAGAGGCAGACACTTCCGCGTGCGTTTGAACTCCACCGTCGATCGAACATCAATCCATCGGAAGTTGTTGTTGGGGGGCTCAGCGGGCGTTTTATTTGACATGTCTCGAGCACATTTTTGAGAGACGATAACCACGTCAGGCTTGCGTTTAGACTGTTCGCCCTGGTGGTTTTGGAACATGGGCATTGGGTCGTTTGTATGAAATAGGATGTTGCTGTCATCCTTGGCGTTAAAAGTAGTTATTCCAGGCACCTTCAGTTTGCTCAGTTCAAGGAGGGCACAGTTGGCAGCTCTGACGAAAGGCGCATAAGAGGCTTTTTTCGTTCTCGGATTCACAACTTGACAGTAGCGTTAATCTTCTCTCAGCGTAACTGAATTTTCACTTACAAATTAGTCAAGTGTTTCGCGATTTCCCGTGCTACGCCTGTCCCATTGCAAAGGTGCAGGACGGCCTTGAGGGAAGTTCCAAGTAGCGTCGACTTCTCATTGTCAGGAAGGGACTGGGAAGGATCTGTGCACATTTCAAGGAGCTCCTGCAGCATTTTTTCGGCATCAGATTTCCTGGAGTTCTGGACATCTCGCCCGATCCATAGGCGGACATCATCGACTCTGCGCGAGCGGCGAAGAAGTTCATATGGGTAACGGCGGCAGGAGCAAAGGAAAAGCTAACGCACTCAACACCTAGAGTGCTGATGTGTTCGCTGACAACAGCGGAGCCAACTGCGTGTGGAGTGGACTTGAGCTTGAGCTCGGCGGGCACGGCAGAGTTACGGAGAGGTGTCTTCGGTCCAGTGGCGCCAGCATTATTATTTGCCATGACGAGAGGCTATAGAAAAGAGAAGAGAACTTTGGGGGACAAGAAGACGCTAACCTAGGCTCGCTTTTAAGCTAGCACAATATCATTGTTAGACGCATCGAGCCAAGACCCCCAATCGATAGTTGAAGGAAGTTTGATCACTGAGCGCTTACTGAGCGTTGAGCCACAGTCACGGTTACGTTTGTGGCGCACGTGACAACGAAATCAAGATTCAAACCACATCATGATGCTACCATCAACACACGTGCACATATATGACTCAGAGACTAGTGTCTTCCTTCGATTAGTCTAGCTAGGGGAGACTACTCCGGCAGTGCCAAGGTCATTCAAACCTCCTTCCAATTTCATACTAATAATGGAAAAAGGCGATTCGTTCTCCATCAGCCAAGCTTCCAAGCTTTGCCAACTAATATCAACAGATCATATTGGCAGATATTGAGAAAATGGTTGTCCCTGCCTCCACCAGTGCGCAACGTCAGCAGACTCAGTACAATACCTAAATGTCTTCCTCCTCTCTTCTCTCCCTATACTGCAGCCATCATGCTTAGGGCCCGTTCGGCAACCGCTCATTTCATTTGTTTGGGTGCGTTTCATTTTGAAACGGACGGATGTTGAAGTGAAACAGATGCTCCCACAGATGTCACATGCTGTCACACATGTACAAATACATCAGATAATGAATGATAACCATCAGTTTGCTGCTCGAGCTCTTCAACTACTAGTATGACCTCATCACGGAAGAGAAAGGGCCTCAAAGCCTCTCTTAAGGCAACCCACACCTGCAGAAAGAGAGCTGCAGTGCTAGCTGCTGCATTTTCAGCTGCTGCAGTGGCAGTGGCCACCTTGCCCTATCTTGACAAGATTCCTCAGCACAACTCTATCTTGACGGGCCATTCATGGGTCTGGGAGCTCTTATCAGGACATCCCCGTCGCTTCCATAATATGATGGGCCTTTCCAAGCCAGTATTTCGCTGATTGCTCCATGAACTCAGTGAAGATGCAGACCTTGCACATTCAAGATATATCTTGTCTGAAGAACAGCTGGCAATTTTCCTTCAAATCTGCCGTACTGGGAGTACAAATTGGGACATGCAAGAACGGTTCCAGCACAGTGCAGATACTATTTCAAAGTGAGTGCCCAACATTACTATTTAAAATGCAGTAGGATTAATTTATCACTGTGACTGTACTATTAGGATTTTTCTTTGTCTTCTAGACATGGTAGTATCACCACACTTTTATTAGCGCTATGTCAGCCTGCCACCCAATGATGTAGTCCCCCCTGAGATTTACAGTAATCCCAAGCTCTACCCATTTTTTCAACACTGTCAGGGTGCAATTGATGGGACACACATTGATACCTTTGTTCCCAATGATGCCCTGACTGCTTGCTACCGCAATCGGAAGGGCCACCTCTCACAGAATGTCCTTGCTGCATGCACATTTGACATGCGCTTTTCATATGTTCTTGCAGGATGGGAGGGAAGTGCAGCTGACAGCCGCATATATGATGCTCAGCAAACCGACTTTCCCATCCCCCCAAATCTCTGTTACCTCGCTGATGCAGGGTTTCCATTATGTGACTCACTCCTGGTTCCATATCATGGTGTACACTATCACCTCAAGGAATGGGGTTGTTCAAGTCAAAGGTATGATTGTTTTTTCTGTTAATCAACTGTTCAAAAAATGCTGAAAAATAACTAGACCAAAAAATTGCCAAGAACTGTTCAACCTACGACATGCCCAAGCCCGAAATGTTATTGAATGCATTTTTGGTGTGGTGAAGCATCAATTCTGGCTAATGGTTGCTGCCCCAGAATACAGTCTTGTGGTACAGACAAAGCTGGTTCCTGCCCTCTGTGTCTTGCACAATTTCATCCGTGTTCATGATCCAGATGATGAAGAGGAAGGAAATGAGGAGGCAGAGGTGGGCACTGATCAGGCTGTTCAGGCTGTACAGCAGAGAGTTGAGGATTTCAGTCATCCAATCACACCAGCAGAAAGGGCAAGGGCAGGACGAAAACGAGATGATATAGCAGAAGCAATGTGGGCACAGTATATTGAGTATACTGTGAATGAGAACTAGGAAAATCTATCTACATTTTTCCAAGTTCAAGACGAATGTACATAGAATGGAGAGGGACATCTGAAATGGCAGTGTAGGCATCTGCAATAGCTACATCCTTGGTAAATAGAGCAACAACCTTGGCACGTTCGTCAGAAGATAAGGATGCATCAGCACAAACAGCCTGGATGACATTGATACGTCGTTTCGGAGTACTGGGAACATCATCAAGAAAACTAGTAGGAGCAGTGAATGACGTAGCAACAGACTCGAGAGCATCAGCTACTCCGAGAATTGCTGCTGGACCAGTCAGCTTTGCATTGGAACATTTTTGATGGACTCCAGTTGAAGCTGGTGATACTGAAGGAGCATGTCCGCGTTTCGGAACACATGGAGTGTGAGAAATAGGTGTCAACTGGTGTGAATACAAGTCAGACAATGAAGCAAGCAAATTGATGTACATACCACTTTCTCGTCAGCTGATTCAGACTTGTGATTCCCTCCAAGTGCATCCTCACCTACGAAGACATCATCTTCATCATCGAGGAGAAGTGTGCTTGGCCACGGAGGGCTTGTCTCATACCCAAGACTATTAATATGCAGTGCCCCTTCACCCGTGGCATGACACCCATCCACGAGCACGATGATGTCATCATAGAGGGGGAATGGTGTCAAATGCCAAACCTTGGCTTCGGGATGGGCCTAAACAGCAATTCAGTCAAGAAATGAACAAAATATGAAAGCTTACCTCAAGGTAATCATCCCACACTTTGTCACTGGCAATGACAATCTTCCTCGTCTCATCCCATCCAAATCTGGACAGCTCTCGCAGTTTTTGGACAACGACACAGTTGGCCTTCAACTTCGAACAATAAATCAGCATGAAAATGGAGGAAAAATACTACTTACAGTGGCCCAATGACACGAGCAACTTTTTGCAGTTTTCAGAGCACCCCCACTGGTTTTGTGGCTGTCTTTGAGGGCCTTTGCTGCAGCTGTAAATGCTGCAGACTTGAAGGTGCCATTATCAGCTGAGTTTCCATCAGCAAAAGTCTTGAGAGAGTCAAGGAGTGTTGCATCATCTCCCGAAATCCACTTCGCATTCCGTGGAATCTTCCTAGTGCTGACAGCCTGCTCTTGAGGTTCCTGCAGTGAATTGATATTCTCCTTGGTATCCGACAAGAGCGAGAGAGAGGGTGGCATGGTGGTAGACTGGTTGTAGTTAACAGAGTAGGGACAGTGGGACATTTGATTGATGAGAGCGAGCAAACAAGTACTAGTGCGACACCGCATTATGCAGCATGACAGATTTCTAATGAAACAAATACATTGCTGAACACATTTTTCCGTTTCAAACAAAAACGGACACAAACGGATGAAAAAAAATGAAACAGATGCAAATGAGTGGTTGCTGAATGGGCCCTTAGTCTTTTTGATATGATATTTGTGTTGGTGGTATGCGAGAACAGCTGTGCCACGTGGTTGAGGACAAAGCCTACCCAAGTCCTATAAACTTGCAACTTCATCACCAAAAGCACTGTGTCCTTACACCAGCTATTAATTTGTGTTGAACATGAGGGAATTTCTAATAAGTGACTGCAGTTCAAAGAAAGTCACGTGTGATGTATGACTTCAGCATATGAGATGGCGACTTAGGGACTCAGAGAACATTCCCGATTCTGTTTGCTATGCAGAAAGGAAAAGTACTGTCAATCTCAAAGGTATACCAGTAAACATTCAAATTCTCCTCCACTAGACCGAAAGGCCATGGATATGGTCGACCAAGAGTCTTGCCACCACAAGGAGTCCTCTAGTTTCCCATGATGCAAATCCCAATATTTGGCCCAGCACATGCAAAATGTGCATCTCCTAACAGAAGCTCCTCACACCCTCAAACACCACTCATGGACAGCCTACAAGCACCTGCAGCATCCAGCTCCCTGGTTACATTGAAGATCAGCCACATGCCCAAGCAGCTTGAGATCGCCAACTGGCAGTTGGTAGCAGCTGGGTCATCATGTTTCTGATAGAAGTAGATGAAGCGAACATCTAGCATCTGGTGATATGGTGTCCAGACCCACAGCATGGTCTGGAGAACAAGTTCACTCATGGATGATGAAGATGTCAATCCCAAGTCACCAAGGAAGACAAGGACAAAAGCAGTGGTTCTCAATACTCCCCTTGCAGCTATCAACACCTTCAGTCTTGAGGCTCACTTGTAAGGCTGCTTGTCACACTAGCTTGCAGAAATGTGTCGTGTGTAATCATACATGCATAGCAATGGTTATGCATAACCTGACATGGCCAGGTACCAGAGGTTCTCACAATTCAACTCCTATTGCTGACTAGGTAAAGGAAGGAAGCAGGTTTGAGATTGGGATATCTTGTGCTTTTGAACCCATTGTCATGATAATATAATATGCTAATATATGACATTCTAGCAGGAAACAATTGACATGCACATGAATGGCTAGCACCTACCTGGTAGACTGTGGGCATACTAATAATAGCATAACATGCATTGCCCACACAAGATGGTTAATTTGTCAAGGGTCAGATCTGGGAGTCGCCCTCTGTGCACAACAACAACAACAACACCACCACACCCTGATATAATACCGTGGTCTTTCATCAATTCTGATCAAATGATGTTTTACTCAATGGCCCAACCCACAGTGGCCAAGTGCCTGATTGTGTCTCCATATTCTGTTGGTTGAGATGTTCTAGCCTCCTCTTGAGATGTGGCAGTCTCATCACACAGCTGCTGTGCCATTGATGATATACCATTTTTCTAGTAAATGCCATATATAAATGCGAAGACCTGTTCCGTTCATACAATCCCCTTCACAGAAATGGCCATTCAAACAGTTGTAAGTTGCTGATATTGATTCTTTTCAAGCAGGCCAACTGTTATGACCAGCATTCACCAAATGGCAAAGGCAAGAACACAACCACTAGGACTCGGTCACAGATAATGATAAGAGCAAAGATAGGATTGAGCTTGAACATCTAAGCCTACTACAAGTGTAGAGAATGAAGAGGTTAAGTGTAAGGAGTACTTACGATAACTAATCTACTTATATACATAACATTGAGTCAGAGATATCTGAGTATGAAACAAATCAGCCAATGAGAAAAGAGTCATATGATAACTGCGGATGACATAGTATGATGTTGTTATATATAAGCGATGAGATCATAGGCGGAGATTAAATGATAGGAAGAGAGATTGTTCTAGTCTGTGGAGTAGGGGAGCCAATCAGAGATACAACAGGTGAAATGTGAAGAGGTGAAACTGTGACAGGAAGTGAAGTCACATGACCGGTTCAGGAACAAGAAGTAACCGGAGGAAAGCTGAGAAACAAAAAATGGTTCATATTGGGAATTTGTGACACTGACATATTGGATAGCCAACATTGACTCAAATACTCATCGTCAGTGGTAGACCCACCAGTAGTTACACTGCTGCTGCTTTGGCTTGGGAAGGTTTTGAAGTTACTCTTCTTGAAGTGGCAAAGTTCCCTTGGTCAGCACATCTCATACATGTCATCAATGTATGCACTAATATTTGCTTGTGGTAGTTATCATATTGGTGAGAGCATGCTCCCATCCATCCAGCCTTTCTGAGCATTTATTGGTGCAGAGGAGTCTGTCATGAACTACAGGATCACTGTTAAGGTGTGGATTGTTGGATTCAGGAACAAAAGAGCAAGAGATAGTAAAGTGACACAGTACAAGTGCAATCCAAGAATGTGAAGAACAACACATCAATGTTGGCCAAGAATACTAATATTGAACTGTCGATTCCTAAGCTACGGTATATTTCTTTATCACTACGCTACTTACTATAAACCTACGAGTTTCCATTAGAACATCTCAGTCCTTTACTCAAGACTGAGATGTGAGTACCTAGTTTTCCCATCTACGTAAATTGAGCTAACATACCCATAGATTATATTCTTATCAGGTACTATACTAGTTACATCGAGTCCTTTACTCAAGACTGAGATATTATATTCTTATCAGCTCCTCCCGTTCATGTTCATTCAGCTCAAATAACTACATGGATAGTCATCATTGTATTGGAATAAATTACATGGTCACCCCCTTCATTTTATAGCCTGGTGCTGCAGTCAAGTTGAACCAGTTCAAGCAAGAAGGATGTGAGTGCCAATCACCCTATTCAATGATGTACTAAAGTTTTTTATATGTCTTATTTATTCCAGATACAGATTTCATTGCGCTGAACCCAGACAATGGATCTTGGAATGTAGGTCTGTAATATTTAGGGGATATTCTCATTATCTCACATTTTGCAGATTCAATCAGAATTTGATGATCTGCTGTTGAACCATGCTTCAAAGTGTGGTACAACTGTGTGTGATGAAATGAAAGTCACTAAACTTCAATTTGAGGGTGAGAGACCTGTTTCAGCTACATGGAGGAACATGAGGACTGGAATCAAGGGCCATATGTTCTTCAACTACCTGGTTGATGTGTCAGGAAGGAACAGGATCATGTCTACAAAGTATCTCAAAAATAGACGCTTCAACCAGGCTCTCAACAATGTTGCATGCTGGGGATACTGGGATACAACCAGTTCTTATATGCCGGGTACCACTTGCCAGAATGCTATCTGGGTCAAAGCACTTGAAGGTATGACAACAACTTGGAGTCGCCATGCCGAGCTTAATTTCTGCAGATGAGTCTGGATGGGCTTGGTTCATCCCTCTTCATGATGGATCGACATCACAATCCTATGGATAACTTTGGTGTGGAGGAGCACTTTGGATTCAAAGCTGTCTTGGAACGGGGCAAATTGGGTTTGGTAAATGCATAGGTTGAGTGTTGCTAACAACACAGAGAAATGGTCATTAAATGGCTTGGTTATTCATTGTAACAACTGCAGAGCCCAATAGAAAAAGTATGTTGGCAGTATCTCAAGAAATTTATGCCTTGGCAGTTAGACATGTAGTGTTCTATCTCCATCAGAACCCAGTTTCCAGGCATGTAGTTGGCAGTTGCATGCATTCTTCTGTATCACATGCACTTGGGACATCAACACCCCAACTAGTACTGATGGTTATGGATCTGGAACATAAGAAAGTACTGGTGCTGTCTGAGCATTATAGCAAGCTTGCAAGAATAAAGCTCAAACAAGTGCTTACTATGTGAGAGAATGCACAGAAGTGACAATGCATGACAGATGTGCATTTCTAGCCCTCAAGATCTTATCTTGTACCCACTACCATAAATCTCTCACCCGCCCACGTGTCTCAGTTTTGGGTTTTGTTGTGCTCGCAAAGCCTCCCATCAACCTCACACTGGAGGTTTTTGGATGTGCTATGGTCTTTCCATTGAGTATGATTGAAGTTTTGGACATCACATGACACTGATCAAACCTGTGTTTTTCTCATCACAACTACCTGATCAATGTGCCCTTCACTGGACTTTGAGGCAAAATAATGGCTGCTATTATTTCCGGAAAATCTCATGTAATCAGTAAATAAATGTGATGTAGTGCATCCGTCCTGTTTTCTGTGAATATAACCATCCATATAGCCAATTTCTCATTAATTCGCTAAGTCTAGATCTTGCGAGCTCTGCACGCTCACAATATGCCGTGGGCACTCATCATCTTCTCTCACGATGATGGCGGACACGACACATTGCTGTGCACTCAAACCACTCACTGCACTTCTATGATGGCAAGAGCCCTTGTTTGGTGCGCCTGTAGCCATTGCTCTTTAACTGACAGTGGTCAACTCCAACAGTCAAGAACAACTCGCCAAAGGCATCTAGATGCTGATCAGCGCGAACAAGAGCATCTGCGCATGCGGGAGACAGACCAACAGCAGGGCTCCCCGATCCCTGCATCACACAGAAACACAAGATCCCCTGAATTACCTCCAGACCCAGCTATCAACTACTATGTGCAAGAACCTCAGCATGATGTTAACGTTGAGTTTGGGTACTGGATGGAAGTAGATGATCAATATGACGGCAACAATGATGCTGATGACAGTGATGGAAGGGAAGGTGACATGTATGTCAGCTTGGATGATGAAGAAAACGCTTATCAGGCATTCCTGCCCCAAGAAGATGCTGTTGAGGAAGATGGTCATGAAAATAACGAAGATTCTGATGAGGAACAAGATCTTGACGAGGGTGCAGACATTGTTGATGACCCTGTGTTTAATGCG